GTCTGGAGTTGGTTGTTTACAAGATGGTGTCTTAAATCTTTATCAGTCTGGGAGTCAGTTATTATCTCTATGAGCCTCAAATTGTTTTATCAGAAACTTGATCTAGTTTCATAGCCGGAAGGATAGCATACTCATATTCCATCTATTGATCATACTTTGTTTCTGACCCAGGCTATAATCTTGATTTTTTTAAAAAAAGAATGAATGAAAGAAAACATCTTCCTTCCTTCCTTCCTTCTTTCCTTCCTTCCTTCCTTCCTTCCTTCCTTCCTTCCTTCCTCCCTCCCTCCCTCCCTCCCTCCCTCCCTCCCTCCCACTCCCTCCCTCCCTCCCTCCCTCCCTCCCTCTCTTTCTTTCTTTCTTTCTTTCTTTCTTTCTTTCTCACTTTTTACTCTATTCTTTTTTCTTTAATTTTAGTTTGTATTAGACTGTAATATTTCAATTAAATTCTTAATAAAAATAACATACAATTGAGCAGCAGGCACGTTAGAATTTGGAGATGTGCCTTTGGAGATGGGAGATGGGGGTAGTAGTGGTGGTGGAGGAGGAAATCTCAAAATGTGCATCATAAAATCAGACTATTATCCCTATCACACATTTATACTGGATATCGACACACTAGTATGAAAAGATAGTTTCATCATTTATCATTTTTTTAAATTAGCACCGGAAGTTTATGATACAGAGATTTGGTATGTGATTGAATGAAATGAATGAAAATATTTTGGGATATTGCATGAAACTCCTATAGTCTTCCGTCAATAGGTATTTGTGGCATTCTTTCTTTTTCTAAATAAATTAGGGGAAACACTTACTTCTGGGGGAAAAAACCCTGAAAGTTTTAAAAGCAAATGCTTACTCTCTGGGAGTTACTTGAATGTCCTGTGATATATCCTTGAAGCATTATTTTATAAAAAACAGTAACAGAACTCTTTATTTGTGCTTAATGAATATGGGGGGGTGATTATTAGCCATGGTGGTGCAGTGGTTAGAATGCAGTACTGCAGGCTAACTCATTGCTCACTCTAGGACAGTGGTGACAAAGGTGCCAGAGGTGGCACTCAGAGCCCTCTCTGTGGCATGCGCGCTGTGCGCCAGTCCTAGGCCTTTAGTTGGGTTTTATAAAACCTTTTCGCTTTAGGCCTCTGCCGCCGTATGGAAAAAAAAAAGGTTCAATCAGTTGATTTCAACTTCTCGCGGGAAAAAAAAGATCTTGCAAAGTTGGAATTGATTGATTGAACTTTTTAGTCCCACCCAGTCTGCCATTACCACTGCAGCCACACCCACCCAATGGACCACGCCTACCCAATGGGCCACACCTACCCAGCACCCGATGATACATAAGTGGGTTTTGGGTTTCAATTTGGGCACTCGGTCTCTAAAAGGTTCACCATCACTGCTCTAGGAGTTTGATTCTGAATGGCTCAAGGTTGACTCAGCCTTCCATTCTTCAGAGGTCGGTAAAATGAAGACCCAGATTGTTGGGGGCCATATGCTGGCTCTGTAAACCACTTAAAAAGGGCTGTAAAGCACTATATAAGTCTAAGTACTGCTATAAGTCTAAGTATTCTGCTATTATCATTATGTGCAGAATAATAGAGTTGGAAAGGACCTTGGAGGTCTCTTAATCCAATCCCCAGCTCAGGCAAGAAACCCTATACCAGGGGTAGTCAACCTTGGCTCTTTTATGACTCGTGGACTTCAACTCCCAGAATTCAGCTCAGGAATTCTGGGAGTTGAAGTCCACGAGTCTTAAAAGTACCAAGGTTGACTACCCCTGCCCTATACCATTTCAGGCAAATGCCTGACCAATCTCTTCTTAACAATCTCCACTGATGGAGCACCCACAACTTTTGAAAGCAAGCTGTTCCACTGATTAATTGTTCTAATTGTCAGGAAATTTTTCCTTAGTTCTAGGTTGGTTCTCTCCTTGATTAGTTTCCATTCATTGCTTCTTAATCTGTCTTTATGTGCTTTGGAAAATAGTTCGATCCCCTCTTCTTTGTGGCAGCCCCATAGATACTGGAACACTGCTATCATGTCACCCCAGTTGTTTTTTTCATTAAACTAGACATACCCAATTCCTGAAACCATTTTTCATATGTTTTAGCCTCCAGTACCTTAATCATCTTTGTTGCTCTTCTCTGCACTCTTTCTAGAGCCTCAACATCTTTTTTATATTGTGGCGACCAAAACCAGATGCAATATTTCAAGTGCAGTCTTATCGAGGCATTATAAAGTGGTGTTAACATTTCACGTGATCTTGATTCTATTACTCTGTTAATGCCATCATATAGTAGATTTATCCACAATGACCTGTCCCTAATCTGGTCTTTCAGGTTTTCCTATAGTGCCCCTATTGTAACTGTCTATCCACCTTGCTGCCGGTCGTCCTTTTCCTCTCCTTCTTTTTAATCTTACATTAAAACCTTTTCTAGGAAGTGATATATTTGCATATAGTGCCCAAAGTAGAATAATTTGAGCTTGATGATTTGTACGTGAAGTAAGAATTCTGTGGCAATTTATTCAGTGATTTGTTTATTTGCATTCTTGGTTGTGTATGATATTCTCTAGAGTCTTTCCTAATGCAAAAGTTCAGGAATGTCAATATTCTTCCTATCTTGCTTCTTCAAACTTCAACTTTTGCTTGTCTATGAACAATGTGGCTTTCATGATTCTGAACTTTGTAGATATAGACATATCACGACATTTGAATACGATTTCCAAGACCTTCATGGTTGCTCTACTAAGTGCTAATCTGCAACATATTCCTTTACTGTTGATGGTTGATCTGAAAAGGCAAAAGTTGCCTACTATCTCAATATCTTCATTCAGTTCTAATTTAAACTGACACTGATATGATTTCAACTGACCTCAATTAAACTCCAGAAAGAAAAGGCTTAGATCACATTCTTTATTCCAGGATTTTAATAGAGAAAAAGAAAGAAATTCCCAAAGAAGTGTCTATTGTATTTATTACCTATTTAAAAATATTAATTTGCTGCTCTGTTGAAATTTACAGTGACAGTACCTTCTCTTGGAATTACTGTTTTATTACTATCCTAATTACTTGCTGTCTCCTGGTACTGCCATGTCCATTATCCAGACTTTTTGTCTTTCTAATGGACAATTATTAAGTCAGGGATATTATCTTATGTTATTATTATTATTTTAAAGGAAACCAGCATGCTGTAAATAAAAGTACTAATTTTAACCATATTTTAAGAATGCTTCTAGGCACAGAAATTAAAAAGTATTATGACTGTAGCTTAGGACTTTTTAAAAAAATGTGCAATTATTGAGAAAAAGAAACCAAAATGATACAAGGTGAAGGAAATGTGCTGTGCCATCAGGAATATTTCATTTACAAATTAGTATACATGGCTTATCCCAAGGGAGAACATACTAGAAGTCTGAAAGAGTAGTCAACTTTTCCAGTTCACCTTCTGCTAATTGTTGTTTTGTTTTGTTTTTAATTGTTTTGACCAGCAGCCACTTTTATCAGAGTGCATATAGCATATTGTCAGTTCCACATGTTTGGACTTCTACATTGCATAACCATTTTTCACGTGTAAAATAATATTCAGTTTTGAGCCCTTGGCTGAGCATGATATTTATTCCCAGGCTTGCTTTATTTACACCATTTCTCTTATTATTCATCAATTAACCTTCAACTCCATATTCAAGCAAAACATTCTGTGATTCAAGCCTATTTAGTTTATTGATTTATTACACTAAATTAACAAGCCTTCAGAACTTTCTTCCAATCGTGCATTCATTTATGGGGACAAATAGTAAAGTTAATGATCTCTCCAGTCCTAATGTCATTGCATCCTCCAAGATATTGTGGTTTGACAATTGAAGTGTCAGCCATGCTTCTGTCTGATTATCTTTTGGCTATGGCTATCATGGCAGCACTATTTGAAGATCCTTAATATTCAGATAACCTTCCTGAAAATAGAGGTGTAGATCTACAGTAAGAATGGTGTGGGTTCAAATATAGTATGCCTGTTCAAGGATGGAAATTTATTTCAGCTGTAATTTAAAGTTAATAAAAATCTAATACACCTATCATAGATAAAGCACATCAAGATTTATCAAATGTTTATTGAAAATGTGGAATCACCTTAACACTCCCTCAGGTATGATATAAATAGAAATTGATTCATTTCTTTTATGCATTAGTTACATAAGAGAAAGTTTAATCTTCAAATGAAAGCCATTATATGAAACATTTTAAAAATAATATAACATTGTTATATTTATTACAGTAATTGCAGAAGTTAAAAGATGATATTCCTTTTGTATAATACATTGAATCAAATTATATCTGCTTTTTTATTATTTGAGCATAAATATCTTTCACTGGTATGTATAAATTCTGTAAACCTGCATGAATAAATGGAGATACAGTTAAATGGGGATATAGTAAAAAAACAGAAATTCTGTAACTTTGATTATTGATGCATAATATAATTCTTGCCACTAGCACTTTCTTTTATTTCATGTTGTTAAAATGGTAACAATTCTACATTTAAACCCTGATATTGGCCTAAAGATGTACATTATATTTCCAGAAACTTCATGATAGGATGGGTAAAATATAGTCCATCTCTTTCATGATTTTTCTCTTAGAAGAATGACTCATTTATCTAACTAAAGTAGAAGAATCTTAAAAGAACCCAACTTCTATATAATATAGAAGCGCTGGTTGTGCAAGGATTACAATGCAGTATGTAGTTCGATCCTGAAGGGCTCAAAGAGGATGTGACCTTCCATCCTTCCTAGATCAGTAAAATGAGGACTCAGATTGTTGGGGGTAATATACTGATTCTGTAAACCACTTAGAGAGTACCGTAAAGTACTATGAAGCGGTATATAAATCTAGGTGCTATTGCTATATAATAAACCCTATTATAAAGTGTGTCTGATCATTTGTTTGATAAAGAAAAGAAACTTGTAGGTATTCTAAGTAAATTTGGATTTGTTTTTCATTCTAGGTTATTCAAATTAATTTTGAAGAATTTGACCTGGAAATTGGCTATGATACACTAACAATTGGGGATGGAGGTGAAGTGGGTGATCCTAGAACGGTGCTCCAAGTGTAAGTCTCCATAATCTTTATCCTGATGAAATAATGGTTTGTTCACATCTTACCAAAGAACTACTGACTAAAAAAGATCAGTTTATTTTCTCTAGGTTCTCCTAATCACCTGGTTTTTAAATATGAATATAATTTTATATTCACATGAGAATGCATAGCAAAATAAAACATGTTAAAGGTAAAATAAAGAGATCACATTATCTTTCTGTTGGTTGTGGATCCTCTAACATCATTGGGGTTATTATGTTCATAAGAGCAGAGAGCACAGAAGCAATGCATTTTAAATATAAAATATATAGGCATGCACATATGTTATTCCTCCATTTTAAGCTTACAAAATACATAAAATAACATTATAATCTCTGGGGTCTTTGGTTTTCTCTGAGGTTGGTTGCAAACATTTCATTACCCAACTAAGTAACATCATTAGTGTTAGAGCAATCTCTCTGTCCTACTAAATTCGACTATAGCATATATTCCAAGAGAAAATGGCAGACATATTACTTAAGAGAGTAATACACTTTAAGTTAGATATATGTTATCTTGCAGAACACCCTGAATTAGTTATATAGAGTCTAGGACAACTTGCCATGGCTGACTCTCCACAGCCAACTCAATGCAGGACAACTGAAAATGACCAAATTGCAGTGGGGCAACTCACCATGAGACAATTCAAAGCAGGATAACTCAGTGCTAGATAACAGTATTGTTATCCGCCATTGTTTCTTTGACATTTTTTTTTCATGGCAAGTTGTCCCATTTTGACCACTGTAGGAAATTGTACTCTCTCATAGGAAATGTCTACAAAGATTCACAGTCATCCAGGTCATAGTTGTCCCAAAGATGCTTTTTCACGAAGCAATTGGAGTTTGTTTTTTTGTTGATGATGTTTTGCTTCTCATTAGCTGAAGAAGCTTCTTGGATGAGAAACAAAATGTCTTCAAAGAGAAAACAAGAAAATCCAGTTGCCTTGTGAAAAAGCAACTTTGGGATTCTCATAGGAAAGTTTAACTGATGCACACTGATCCTGGATTTTACATAGTAAAAATGAATGACATATTGTTTTCTGAAGCTGTTATCTGATCTTACTGCTTGGACGGTAAAATCTGACAGCATAATATTATTGGAGCTACAACCTTATTTCCATTAAATTATAGTGTATGGACTTGAATGTTGATTTGTAAAAAATAGATATTTTAAAACCTTAGAATAATATAAAATAAAATATTTGGGTTATAAATTGGTGGGATAGGAGCCAGAATCTTAGGCTTTGCTATAAGAAGAGTATCATAAGAAGAGTGATTATACCCCAGCTCCCATCAATTAATCAGTGTCATCTTGCAGGATCCAGAAATCATGCCTTCTCTGGTGCAGCACCAGTTTTTTGGAATGAAGTCCACCAGAGATTCATTTATGACATTTAGGAAACTGTTAAAAATCTGGCTATTTTCCCAGGCCTAGGGATATGGTGGCTGGAGTGGGCCCTTTTATTATCTTTGTTTTTCTGCTGAATTTTGCATTTCTGTTCAGCTAGGGCTCTTTTCTTTCATTTCCATTTCAATATGGCTTTTTTCTGCTTTATTTGTAAATCCGCTCAGAGTTGTCAAGAACTTGCATAGTCTCTAAATTTGGAAATTAAATTAAATTAACATTTTAATAATATAATAATTTGATTTCAGTTTTTTAAAGAATCTTGTTTTCAAAAGATATGTGCACACACTCTTTAAAAATGCACATTATTCTTCTATAATAATGTCCGGTGTTCACTGTTCTGTGTTCCAAACTCATGTCTACTTTGTTTTAATTTCTTTTTGTTAAATGCAAAGAAAAAATATAATCTTTCCATATTCATCTCATAGAAATTAACTGCATATATATTAATGAATAAGAATATTTCAGTCCTATCTCTCACTTTCATGCAGGAAGCACCATAATATCTCATTTTTGCCTAAACCTGGAATCACAGAAAGCAGAACCAGTCTTAGCTTTGAGAATCCATGTTATATACTGTGGTTTCTTAATAGACAAAGTTCACACAGATGAAAGGTCATATTGAGACCTTGCCCATTTCTGTCACATATGTCAAAATTCATGGATTTTCTGGAATGTTCCTATAGCATGTAATAAGAACAAGAATTAGGTATAAGCATGAACAAGAATTAAGTATAAGCCATTTGAAATGTTTAAAGGCAACCAAGACTTATTCTATTTTCCACACTTCATTCAACGACTTGTGTCAGTAGTGTGGTGGCTAGAGGCGGAGACCTGTGAGGTCGGGAGACTGTGAGTGTGATCCTAGGTATGGTAGATATTTCTCTCTCTGGACACAAAGAGAAAATATTTGCTGTGAACTCTGTATAGGCTTCAGGAAGGACATCCAGCCAGTAACCGCTCAGGTCCATTCAGCTACCACCGCGATGCAAAGGATTACAGGGTCATTAAAAGAAAAACAAAATTCAGTGAATTCATCTAGCTATTATACATTGTTGTTATATTTTTCTGCTTAATAATTCATCTCTTCTCTCCAAAGATTGAAAAAGAGCCATGACCTATTGATGGGGAGATAAAAGAGGGAATATTGAAAATATTTCTTGAGGAAAGGATTTTGAACTTCACCATCAACTAAAACTTTCTCAAAGCAATGAGTGATCTTAGAATGGATCAACATTTATGTTATCTAGTCTTCTGGTTTATATTTATATTAAATCCCTTAGAGTTCCAACAAATGTTTTCATAAACTCTTCTCTTCTGAGATAATAACAGAAATCAGTACATCTTAAATACAGAGACAATATTCAGGCTTTTCTTGTATTGTAGTCTAACCATGTTTCTTCTAAATATCATGCATAATAGAAGGGTGAGAGAAGTTACATATCTTGACTTACAGAATAAATTCACACATTTTCGGTTATGATTCCCCTGTTTATTGTATAAAATTTTTTTTTCTTTCCTATTGCTGTCAAATTCTTAAACAATTTGGTAATAGGAAAAGATAAAATCAAATAAATTTTATTTCTTCCTACTGTCTATTGTTATTTCTTATGATATTGAAATATTTATATATGATTGTAGAGAAATCATATTTTTTTCATGCAGTTTTCATGGGCATTTTTGAAGTTTAGATTCTAATTGGCATTAGAGAGGCATCATTCATCATTAAAGTTATCATCCATCGATGTAGATGTGTCTAAGGATCTGTGAGTTGAATAGAAATCGTGACATCGAACAAGGACCATGGCTCACATAATTAGAGTGCTGGGATGGAGGTTAGCAAGCCCATATTCCAGCCTTGAGTGCTGCTGTGGGGCAGGCTTGAGTTTCCATCCTCTGTCCAGCTCCTGCTGAGGACATAAAAGGCATCCCCAACTGACTGTGCCTCAGGCAATGGTGATGTCATCAGCTAATCCTTTCAATCCGGAAGTGCCTTGGTGCTTCTGCACAGTGCAAAAAAAAATGACATTGAACTTCAACCTGATTTCATATAATGATAGTCTTTAAATTCCTCTAAATATAGTTTTAGTTTTATCATTTCCTACTATTTGACCTTGCAGTATTTACTGATTTCTCTGCTCTCTAACTTTTCAATCTCTTTTAGATAATATGAATCATTTTTCTCTGCATGTCTAGTCTAGTTTAAAATGCTAATGTTTTGTAGCAGCCAGTTCAAAGCAAGACATACATTTAACAAGACTGATGAAATTACACTCTTTTGTTATGAATGCAAATGAATGTTCTGTCATTTTTTTCTTATCAGAATATTATTCAGAGTGTTCTTAGCTTCATGGTAAAGTTACCACTATATTATAATAAAGAAGATATAGTAGACAAAAAGCTAGAGATAATTTGCTGATTTTTTTTTCAATTTGCACTACTGTCAAGCTGAGCATAACTGTCTCAAAGTTATTTCATGTTCCAATTGAATTTTTAATCTGTTTTGCAAGATTTATTCATATATATGTGTGTGTGTGTGTGTGTGTGTGTGTAGGTCTTTGGTTGTTCGGGTTTTCTCCCGCGTAAAATTGGAAGTGTCTTGGCGACGTTTTGACGAAGTCCCATTCGTCATCTTCAGGCTGATGTTTTCAGCTTCGTGCTTCAAGGAGCAATGTGTGGTCTTAGCTCCTCGAAGCTCCACAAAGCTGAAAACACCAGCCTGAAGATGACGAATGGGACTTTGTCGAAACGTCGCCAAGACACTTCCAATTTTACGCGGGAGAAAACCCCTCAGAAAACACACACACACACATACACACACACACATATATATATATATATATATATATATATATATATATATATATATATATATATATATGAATATATATATATTATTAAGAATATTAAAAACAAAACAGTGATTCCTGGGTAGACTCATATTAAACAATAAAATATACAAACACCAGGAAGTTATAAAACTATAAAAAGTTTTAATAAAACCAGAAAAAACCCAAGCTTTCGCTGGCATCTGCCAGCATCATCAGGGTAGTCTCCAGTCGATGGGAGAAGCTATTTATAAGTGTGGCATTCTTTGTGCCCGGCTTCTTGACCTCGTCATGGGTCCCAGCCAATCCACCTGCGTTTTGATGACAAGACTGGTGGCTTCTTTCAGGTTACGTAGTGCTGTCTGTTCCTCTTTGGGTAAGTTGTTTTTCGGTGGCTTGCTGGTGCAGAGGATGTTGGTGATTTCGACACTAACAGAATCAGACTCGAAATCACCAACATCCTCTGCACCAGCAAGCCACGCAAAAACAACTTACCCAAAGAGGAACAGACAGCACTACGTAACCTGAAAGAAGACACCAGCATAATAATCCTACCAGCAGACAAGGGCAACGCCACGGTGGTTATGAACACATCTGACTACCAAACCAAATTAACCAACCTACTCCAAGACTCCACATACAAACCCCTAAATACAAATCCCACCACCTACCTGGAAAAAACCACCAGATCCAAAATAAAAGCCTCCCCATTAGCAAAGAAATCCAGCAAAGAATCATTCCCAGAGAGAAATCATCCAGATGCCCCAAACTCTATGGTCTCCCCAAGATACACAAAGAAGGAACCCCACTCAGACCTATAGTCAGCTCCATAGGCTCACCTCTACAAAACCTATCCAAATTTCTTGCCAAACAACTACAGCCCTATGCAGAATCCATCACCTCACACGTAAAAACCTCATTCCAGTTTATAGAGATCATAAAGAAACAAAGCTTACAGCCCAGCGACCTACTTGTGAGCTTCGATGTCATATCCCTCTTCACCCAAGTGCCTATCAAAGAAGCCTTGACAGCCATCCAAAACAAATATAACCCCCCCAAACACATCTTAGATCTGACCAACCACTGCCTATCCAACACATACTTCATCTACAATGGACAAAAATACAAACAAACAGAAGGAGCACCCATGGGATCACCCCTCTCACCTGTCATTGCAACCCTCTACATGGAACACTTTGAAACCCAAGCTCTAGAAAAATCGGATCACAAACCCAAACTCTGGCTCAGATACGTAGATGACACCTTCATAATCTGGCCACATGGGAAAGAAAAACTGGACAACTTCCTCACACACCTCAACAGCCTACACCCCAAAATACAGTTCACCATGGAAACAGAAGCTAACAACCAACTTCCCTTCCTGGATGTCTTAGTCTACAAGAAATCCAATGGCTCCCTAGGACACACCATCTACCAGAAGAAAACACACACAAACCGCTATCTGCACGCTCTCTCACACCACCACCCAGCACAGATCAACTCTGTAGCCAAGACACTCATCTCCAGAACAAAACGCTTAGCTGACGAACAACACCTAAAACCCGAACTACACACTCTCACCAATGTACTAACATCCAATGGATTCCAAAGAAATAAGATTACAAACCTAATCCAAAAAGAAACCCCCACTAAAATCCAAGACAAAGAACAAGAAAACGGCAAAGCTCTCCTCCCATACATAAAAGGCACCACAGACAGAATCAGTAAGATCCTCCATAAACACAACATCAAAACAGCATTCTGCACAAACAGAAAAATATCCACCATCCTTAGAAACCCCAAAGATAAAATTGACTTAGAAAATCAAGGAGTATATGAAATCCCATGCACTGCTTGTCCCAACACATACATCGGACAAACCAACAGAAGAATAAGTGCACGCATTGAAGAACATAAGAACTCAGTCAAAAAAGAGGAACCAACATCTTCCCTGGTCCAACACTTTAAAGCCACAGGACATGAAATTGACTTTAAAAATACCAGAACCATTGCCAAAAGTGAACATTTTAATAACAGAATAATCAGAGAAGCCATCGAGATAGAAAAACGCCCACACAGCATGAACAAGCGAGATGATACCTCCCGCCTACCAGCCATTTGGAAACCCGCCCTTATTGACAAACGACTCCCTAACACAAAAAATGATACCAGACCCACACTCACAAAAACCACACAGGATGTCACCACCACACATCCACGCAAAAAGCAAACCCAAAGCCACACCGATGATGAGGCACGACCACAAACCAGAAGCCAGACCACAGCTGCATCATTAGCCACTTTAAACCCCTCCAATCCATACATGAAGCAAACTGACACCCTCCATGAAGATGAGGCACGACCACGAACGCGAAGCCAAAAAATAGCAAGGCAGCCCAAAATCTTAAACCCCCCTGCAACTCAGACTAACCTGAGCACAACCAAACAGAACACTCCCCCAGCCAATCAGAGCACAGCCAACCCCCCAGCCAATCAGAGCACAGCCAACCCCCCAACCAATCAGAGCACAGCCACGCCCCTAACCAATCAGAACACACCTCCACCCAATCAGAACACAGCCAAGCTCCCACCCAATCAGTTCATATCCCCACTGGCAGTTAAAAGGAAGAAACAGCTAAGACCACACATTGCTCCTCGAAGCACGAAGCTGAAAGCACCAGCCTGAAGATGACGAATGGGACTTCGTCGAAACGTCGCCAAGACACTTCCAATTTTACGCGGAGAAAACCCGAACAACCAAAGACCTACATATACATACATACATACATACATACATACATACATACATACATATATCTTTAATATGCCTGTGAATTCAGGCAAACATAATGGAGACTCTTTGGGGATACATTTTGATGTAACAGTTCTGTAGAAAATAAAATAAAATTCAATTTTGTTGTAAGAACAGGTTGGATTACTGCTATTGAGAAGCTGGCAGTGAATCCAGGAAGTTCAAGCAGCTTCTCAAATTTCTGGTCTTTTCAAATCGAGTGAAATGCTCAGTTAAATGATCACTAAGAGCATTTGCTACTCCATTTATTTTTAGTAATTAATAAAACTCCTGAAACAATATTTTGTATGATTTTAAATATTCTCAGGACTGATTGCTAAAAATTCAAATGAAAACTATACAAATTTTAAAGTATGTTTTAAGAGCAGAAATAGGAGAAAGTCTTCTAAAAGAAATCATAAAACATATGTCCTGTCTGCCTGCCTTCCTTCCTTCCTTCCTTCCTTCCTTCCTTCCTTCCTTCCTTCCTTCCTTCCTTCCTTCCTTCCTTCCTCGGTTCTTCTGGGTTTTTTTTAAAGACTTTTAAATATTTTCTGCTGAAAATTCTCATAATTGTGGTCAGAATAGATCTAGAAACTGAAGGGGAAAAGTCTGAAGAGTGAATATCGTCTCAAATGCTTATTCCTGTTCTAAACTGATTTGAGTTTGGCAAATTCTATAGAACCTAGATGTCTATATCAAAAAGCATTCCACATTTTGGGATAGTTGTGAGGATACTTTATATTAGGAGAATAAGAACCACCCAGGTTCACTAGCAGGGACCGTAAGATAATGGAGTTCTCTTGGGGAAAGTTCACTTTGAAAAAGACACCTATTATCACATTCAGAAGCATGCTTAAACATACTTTTGTGATGGCAAAAAGAAAAACTGAAGAGAGATAAAATTGTAATTTTATAATTTCTGAATGATTCAACGATCAACATTGCCGAAGGAAGGAATACAAAGTTGGTTTACTTGACCAAGATTGAACTAAGATATATTTCTACAACATACTGGAAACCATTATGGACTTTTTTGCTGATGCCCAGATTGAAATGATAAAGATTTATAGATTTGGATATGGATATAGGATAGGTTATAAGAAGAAAATATAGTTTCATGGGGGTAAAAATTACTAAGTTTGTACGTGTGATGAAGATCAGTAGTCAGTTTATTGTGTCATAGTAGTGGTTTTAGTATTATTGCATTGGTTTTTACAAAGTCCAACAGAGTTATTACATACCAATTAAACACATAGTTTTAGCTCTTAGACAATGATATACAGACTACAATGAATGGGTTCAAAAGATATGCTAAACTATAACTGAACACTATTATGGTTAATGTATGAAGCCAGCATGAGTAGGTAAACCTATTAGAATATAGTATAATTTATGTCTTCATCAGCCTTCACTATTTTAGTTTCATTTGAATCTCTTGTAGTAAATAATGTGATGGCAAAGAAAATCTATGATTCTTTGATTACAGTTCTCATGAAAACCTATTCTTATCTTTCCAACTGAACAGCTTCCTTTTGAACTCTGTGTCAATAGCAAGACTTAAATAAAATCACTTGCATGCTGTGGCATAAGGATATTATACTGTTAAGTAAAGTTGTTAGTCAGCAGGTACCTGTAAGATAGCTTCTCTTAATAAGCCTCTGTGTGTGTGTGTGTGTGTGTGTGTGTGTGTGTGTGTGTGTGTGTGTGTGTGTGTGTGTGAGAGAGAGAGAGAGAGAGAGAGAGAGAGAGAGAGAGAGAGAGAGAGAACACCATCTGGTGATGCTGACTCCACAAATGCTGCCATGCAATTACTCAGTTATGGAAAACAAAAAGATTTTCAGCTAGTAATCTCTCCTGAATAGTCTCTTCTCCTTCTCCCTCTCCTTGCTCCACTCCCTTCCCTCTTCCCTTCCCCTCGTCTCCCTTTCCCTCCAGTTCCTTCCTCCACTTCTGTCCCCTCCCTTCTTCCCCTTCCCTCAATTCTTCCCTTGCCCTCTGTCCTCCCCTTTTCAGTAGTTCTTTTTTCCCCCAAATGCTAGTATGCCATTAATATGAAATGCTAGCTTTTAAAGACTAAAGTCCTATAATCAACTTCTCCACTTGATTTTTAAAATAGCTTTATTTCAAGCCAATTTACAGCTAATGGACTTTTTATTTTGTTTATGATTAGATTAACAGGAAGCTTTGTGCCGGATTTAATCGTTAGCATGAACAATCAGATGTGGCTACATCTTCAGACCGATGAAAGTGTGGGCTCAGTTGGTTTCAAAGTTAACTACAAAGGTAATCCTATTAGAAATTCAACTAAAAGGAACAAAAATCTTGACTTTCCTTTAAAAATAATATTAGCATCTGTGTTGTTAAAAATATTTTTATGAATACAAAATTAAACTGATTACACATATGATTTTTTTTTAAATAACACAATCTATTATAAGTAGATGTGAATGATTGCCTATAGGGTTTTTATTTTTTATTTTTATTTATTTTTTCCTTTCTGCAAGTTTTAGCAGCAGGAGCTTATCTTAAAATTCCCAATATAATGTTTGATTCTAGGTATCTAAGATGATGAGTATGCAGTTTTTTTTTCTTTTAAAGAATGAAGGCATTTTTATGTAGACTCAAAAAGCCATGCTATCAAATATTTATTTATTTTTCCTTTTAAAGAATGATTCAGGAGAGGAGAGAAGAAAGAATCCTCCTGGATTTGTTTCTGAATAGCTGTATGAATTATTGATCTTCTACAATGTACCTGATTAATATTTCTCTTCAATTGGTTGTAGAAATTTATCCTGGCAAATGGGTGAAGAAGCTACAAGGTTGACTAGTGACAAAGCAGTCAGTAACACAATGCTCTAAGCAAGCAGACTTGAAAACATTCTTGTAGTGAATCAAGGGAACATTGTTATTTATACTTGACTCCAGTCATTCTTTAAAATAAGAATACTTTTTGTGTTTGACTTTTTGTGCTGTTCCTGTACTATTGTAACTTAAGCTAGAATTTGGCAAGTCTATTTTTTCTTTCTTTCTTTCTTTCTTTCTTTCTTTCTTTCTTTCTTTCTTTCTTTCTTTTTCTTTTTCTTTTTCTTTTTTTTCTTTTTTTTCTTTTCTGGGGAGTAGAAAGTGAAATTGCTAGATCCCTAAAACAATATGCTTATATTGCAAAATAAACTATAAGAATTCTATGTTATATTCATTTTATTTTTTGAGTTTGCATATTGTATAATATTCTTGCTTCTGAAACTGGTGTCAGGGGTACTGATTTGGTAGAAATATAGCCCTCTGAGAAATAGACAGTCCTATGATTATTTTAATTCCAAAGCTCCTTGGATAGCCACAAAAACAAACACACAAGCAAAAAATGCATCATAGAACAAATCAACCTAGAGTTTTCACATGAGTCACAAATGGCCAGGCTCATATTATTTTTCATCAGACACATTAGTAAAGACTGCTATAGCATTCTAGAGAAGACAGTAATTCTGGGAAAGATGGAATAAAGAGGACAATCGGCAGCAAAATGGACTCAGTTACAGTATGGATGGATCACTGTTGGAGATTGAATGATCAGATTGAAGCAGATCATTCTAGAGAAAATCTATGTTGTTGCTAAGCATTGACACTGAGTTAATGACTTTGTCATCATCAAGATGCAGTGTTATTGTTTTGGGCTAGTTTTGATTATCCTCAGTTTTTTTCCTATTTGTTTATATTAATTGATTGATATGGTCATCAAATTGAAAATCATAACTCTGTGTGGCTAACATGGTACCAGAAAATATATACCAAACAATATAAAAACAACAATCAGAATAAAATGTACTTCATATGGAAATTATGGAAACTAGCAACCATCTAACTGGAACTAACCTATCAACTAATTTCCCAACCTCCATGCCTGAGAATGCACCTATGCTGCATGTCATTTCAGAAAAAATCAATTTCTGCTTTAAGGTACTGCATACAGATGTTCCATTATACATTATAAATGTACTGCATAGCTAATCAAAATGTTATAGGGGAAGATAATGTATGCTACCACTATACCAGGGGTAGGCAAACTTGGCTCTTTTATGACTCGTGGACTTCAACTCCCAGAATTCCTGAGCCAGCATGGCTCAGCTTGGAAACCTCTCCCTTTCCCTTCAGCATAGCTGGCTCAGGAATTCTGGGAGTTGAAGTCCACGAGTCATAAAAGAGCCAAGGTTGCCTACCCCTGCACTATACCAATGACTACATGGAAAACATTATTTTCAAAGAAATTTAGTGGAAGTAGATTGATTTTGCTAAATTTCCACTTTGTTAAGCTTACCTGGTAAACTTGGAGAAAATATATTTTTTAAAATAATAATAATAATTCTGAGATAATACCAGGTGTTATCTTACAATTTTATTTTTCCATGTATTTTCCATATATTTCAGTCAATGTAATATTACTTAAATCATCTCATCTGTTTGAGAGATTCCCTGGAACAGATTGGAAGAAGACAGAGGGGACCAATTTATATGGAACTGAAATGAGATTGAATATACCAAAATAATAGAGGAGTTTAATAGCGTGCATAGCTGGTGCTATTTATTTTTACTCAATAACGATGTTTTATAATACACTCCAGAATGAGATTTATGAAGCTATCTCATCAGAGAGCAAACACGTCTGATTTGTTCCCTAAATTTGATTTGAGACTTTTTAATAATCTAAATATCATGATTGTAACATGGTTGATTTTCACTGCACAGATGTATAACTCAAATCATGCAATTGGCAATGTTTTGAAAATACTGATCCACAGATGCTATTTTTACTGAAAATATCCAATGGTGTCATTATATAATCAAGCTAGGTTATTGGAATATATTTTTAGTTAATATATTACTTGGGTATATATTCCATGGCATTTGTGAATGTATTTTGTAAATAGTTGCTTAGGACATGTTTAATTATTCATAAAATTGATTATTTAATTAATGTTCTACAAAAGAAACTTGAATATGTCACTCTCCACTTTATCTCACAGCTTTTTAATGAAGTTACAAAACAGTGTAACAGATATAATTTTTATAGTTAGAAAAAATGCTTATAATAAAAGAACAGATATACATATATACCGTAACTATGTGGTCTTTCTGAACTAAGGATAGCTCTGAATTTTAAATACATTACTAAAAAGAATATGCATGTTTTAATTAGGCTACCAACTGCAAAATAGATAGTACTACTAATAATAACCTTACATTTATTTTTTGATTTCTATACAATTTAATGTACACTGAGAAAAGGTTGGAAACATTGCTACAACTAGCAGGCAAATAAAGCAAAAATAATGTCATATATATTGTGGTAATGACAAATAGAGAACTGAAATTATGTTAGCAAATGTCAGCAAGGCTGCTATCCAAATGGGATCCTAAAATATTATTGTAATTCTGCTTATATTACAAACCACTGCTAAAATATCCTATACATAGTGAGTTCCCCACTACCCAAGGCAATGGTTCTCAACCTTTCTAATGCCGCAACCCCCAACCGGTTGTAAGTCAAGGACTACTCAACCGGTCGTAAGTCAAGGACTACTCAACTGGTGCAGCACCATTTGCAGAATGGGACTTTTGGCGGACTCAGCAGGGCAGAGACAGCCTGGACAATTCCTATTGGCTTTTGAAAGCCATAGAATTAGACTCTATTCAAAAGAGTCTATTCTATTGGCTTTCAAAAGCCAATAGAATAAAAGGGAGTAGCACAGCTAAGGAAAAGGAGAAAAAAATGGCGGACTGCGTTGTTTGGCGACCCCCGTGAAATGGTTGTTCGACCCCAAATGGGGTCCCGACCCACAGGTTAAGAACCACTGACCCAAGGGAACAAGGGTGAATTTTAGCTTAATATTTTGAATTAATTTTTAACTATTTTGACACCATTCAGGAGCAGAATGGCAGAAAACAACTACCATAAATGCCGGCGTATAAGATGACTTCCGCGAGCGCTGAAATCGGCGCCAAAGACGGGGGTCGTCTTATACGCCGAGTCATCTTATACGCCGGAAATACTGGTAGTTTCCGGCGTATAAGACGACATTCTAGGAATGCGGCCCGGCTATAAAGACGGGGGTCATCTTATACGCCGGGTCACCTAATATGCCGGCATATACGGTAGTGATCCACAATTAATTAATTTAATTAACTAAGACTAATTTAAATGTTATAGATTAAAAAAATATTTAATGTTAATTACTTAGTATTTTACCATTGATTTATTTAGTATATATCCTTTCTATTTGTGTGATTTCTGGCAAGAATAAGCAGAATAAAATTTCTGTGTGCATGTATAATTTGTCTCCAGAGAGCTGGTCTCTTTCTCTTTCTTTCCTCCTCCTCCTCCTCCTCCTCCTCCTCCTCCTCCTCTTCCTTCTCTCTCTCTCTCTCTCCCTCCCTCCCTCCCTCCCTCCTTGTTTTTGGAGAATTATGAATTGTTCCTCTGGAATGTACAGATCTGGCTATTCTGGGGTGGTCCATCAGTTCACTAGGAATAAATCTTTTGGAATGGAAAATGGAAATTCCAGTGTCTTGGGATTTTTTAGCATAAATTTATATGATAAGTAAAAAAAGTGGAATGTTTTGAATTTTCATGGAATATTACCTCTCTGGGATAGAACATTTTGCCCATTGATAGAGAGAATACACATCTACACAAGGTCAAGTTTTGAAGCTGAATTTGAATTGCACACGGCACAATATGTTTTAGATCAGTTCTGATGTAGAATACAGTAAATCCTAGGCAAAGTGGATTATAGTGGCCCTCTGAAGTACTTTTGATAATCTTCATGCCTTATTCTTTTTAATTATTTCTATGATATCATTTTGTTGCTTCATCAAAGACTGCAGTTTGATTAGTACTTTTAGTTCTTTGTCATGATAGTAGATTATCAACCATTGGTCTGGCTTTTTGATGGAATGACTAGTAATTTGAGCGGGAAAGGGCTGTTTTTGATACTATGCTGAATTTTGCTTTTATTCCAATCACTATGCATTCCATTAAGCTAAAATTCTGAATAAGCCAAGCCTTTTGAGCCAATTATTTGCTCAAATTGCAGTTTATGGAAGAAGACGTTTTTTCCAAATTAGGCCTGCTGGAATAATAACCTAGAGAAATGACTACATTTACAGATTCCTGGCTTGCATCTAGGATTAAGTGCATTTATCACTATTGGTTGTCAGAAATATATCTGCTGCATATAAGATAGAATGTGAGTTGCAGATATAATAAACAACACAAGATGAAAACATTC